GGCAAGTGGTCCTTTGAAAATACTAAGAAATTGCCTCTTTCCTATTTCCCAGAGATTTTTTGGGTACTTACAGTGTTTGGTCATTTGAATAATCTAGGGGGTAGTAGAAAGTTATTTTTTTAATCATAGTATCTGAAACAAACAACAAACACAAACACATGGCATCATATGTCATGGTTTTCTACTAGACGACAAAACTCCGTACTTCAAACAAAACACACCTTTTAAGAGTTCAAAATGTAGAGAAGCAAAAATTTGCTTTTAAAATTTTTCTGGTTTCATAAGGTATTTGCGAACGCAGTGAGCTGAATAAAATATATAGCAAAATCAGACCAGTTTAGGGGGGGCGTGCAACTCTTTCTTGGAAAAGACGGAATAGCTATCTCACTTACATGTCATAAGGTCGTGAAATGCATATAATTTGCATTTGTAAAGTTCTTTATGCAGAGAAGTTCTATTAAATTGTGCTTTAATTGTGGTGATGAGTTACATGTAGAGCCCTTTTTTAATGACCATGCATTACCATTGCCTTCTAACTGTAATTGTTTGAGTGTTTATTTTACTTTCTAGCAGTTTCCAGACTATTCGCTGGACATTAAACAACTCAATAAAGCTTGGAAAAGAGTTGATCATCTGTGGTCATAGTAATCAGTGAGTGCAGCCACCTTCTCTTCTCATAAGTCTATAAAAAATGATTTTTATCCATTGGTAGTGTGATTGAGCCATGCACTGAAGCAAAGGTAGAGCTTGAGCAGTAGCTTTCTCCATATGAAGAGGATGCAACTTAATAAGTCTTAAATTATTCAATTTTCCATCATCCTTTTTTAGTGTCAAGTAAAAGCTTGTTATTTATTTCTTTGTTTGTTGAAAAATTCCCTGAAGAATTTATTCATTTTACTCTTGCGACAGTTTCTGGAATACTTTGAAAAATGATCATTACATTCACTTCAAAGTTAGAATGATTGAACCATGTGCTCAAACAAATCCCAAAGGCACTGTGCCTTGGTCAACATTTTTCCTTTTATGAAATTGACATAGTTTGTATAAAAGGCATGTATGAAATGGACATATCTTAATTATTCAATTGTCAGAACTATTATTAACTAAAGGCGGCTTTCTTCAAAGCAAGATGCATTTTTTTTAGTAGTCTAACCATTGCAGTTTGCACTCTAACCAGTATTTAAAATTCATTGTTCTTTGAGATTAGTGTCTGAATGATTTCTCAAACAATGGAGTAGCTCAGTTCACTAGTCTCAGAAGATTGAATAACAACTTTTGCATCAAAGTAGCAAACAGGTGAGAGTACATGTATGTGTCACAAAGTCGTGTATGAAATGGACATAACTTAATTATCTATCTGTCAGAACTAGTGTAATATAGATTTAGCCAAGCCTGAAAGCAAAGCTCGTAGGCTGGGTTGCTCAAAGCCTGATTAGGCTAACCCAGGATAAGTGAGAATTTTGATTTGAGTTTTCTTTTTAACTTGGCAGTGAGGTTTTCTGCTTATATTGTTTGGCCTCCTGAGTTTGAATAACCTCAAACTACACAAAACATAAGCAGCGAAAAACATTTTTATACCAGAAAAATTTATGTTTCGGTTAACGCCCAAGTCGCTAGTGGAGGGAAGGTGCCTACGAAGCCCGGGGGCTGCAACCACAGTCACATCCCCAAGGCGCTAGAACACCCGACTGGCCTGCCCAACCCGCAACCAAGCCACGAGCCCCCCATGCCAAGCCCCCTACAGGCACCCATCACACTCAAGCCAGA